TCAGCAACCAGACTCCACCTTCCTGCTTGTAATCAGTTTACTGCCACTTTACCAGCTATGAATTCCTCCTACGTATATCTTCCTATCTGTATCTATAAAAAGATGATATTTATCTGTATGTGCATATATAGATTTTTTCCCCAGACAAATCTTAAAAATTATTTTTAAAAAGTTAAAGATAGGAGTTTTGTGTTACAGAGTGTGCTAGGGTGGAGCTGTGGAGTTCTCAAAAACCGAACTGAGGGCCACGAGAAGTGTTGATACGGAATCACTCTCAACCTAGGTGGCCTCTGCCAACTTTGCAAGTTCTTTAATAGCTTATTAGTCCATTTATAAAACAGAGAAAATAAGCAGATGTTACTGAGGTTTTTTGTTTATAAAATATTCTAAAATGCTGAGGTGAAAGGTGTGACTCAGGAAATGCCAAGTATGAGATAAACTGCCTCACAGACTCATGGCTAATCCCTTTCAATGTGATGGAAACTTGATTTTTGACAAACCCCTTTATAAGAATCCTGTTCTCTGTATGAATGACTCTAGAACATGGACAATGGAGAGAGGATTGACTGTGGGTTAGAGGGGCACAAAAGGGAAGACAATTGGGACAACTGTAATAGAGTAAACAATAAAAAGAGTCCTGTTCTCATCAACTGGGCTTTTTCTCTGAAATTTGTTTCCTTTTTCTTTTCCCTTTACAGTATCTTCAAGTAGGTTTAAGTCATTAAGCAATTACCTAAGGGACACTTGCACAAATATAATTTTTTCCCAGCAAGTAAAGGTCTACGTGTATGTTTAAGTGTGTACGTCCCTTCCCTTTTGGTATTTGTCCATCGAGGAAATGGATGTTTAATCTCACCACTACCAACAAAAACAGTTCTATTTTGGTCTGCAACACTCCCTTATTTTAAAATGTTTTCTAGGCAGTACATACACACTAATGAAAGAGTTCAGAGTAAATCTCTACTTTATAATAATGTACTCTTTTTTTTCTTTTTAAATATATTTTATTGATTATGCTCTTGTAGTTGTCCCATTTCCCCCTTCACTCCCCTCCACCCTGTACACCCTCTCCCACCCACTTCCTCCCCTTTAGTTCATGTCCATTTGTCATACTTATAAGTTCTTCATCCTCTACATTTCTTATACTATTCTTACCCTCCCCCTGTCTATTTCCTACCTACAATCTATGCTACTTATTCTCTGTACCTTTTCCCCCTTTCTCCTCCTCCCACTCTCCTGTTGCTAACCCTCCATGTAATCTCCATTTCTGTGGTTCTGTTCCTGTTCTAGTTGTTTGCTTAGTTTCTTTTGGTTTTACTTCAGGTGTGGTTGTTAATAATTGTGAGTTTGCTGACCTTTTACTATACATGTTTTTTTTTAATCTTCTTTTCTTAGATAAGTCCCTTTAACATTTCTTAAAATAAGGGTTTGGTGATGGTGAACTCCTTTAACTTGACCTTATCTGAGAAGCACTTTATCTGCCCTTCCATTCTAAATGAAAGCTTTGCTGGATAGACTAATCTGGGATATAGGTCCTTGTCTTTCATGACTTGGAACACTTCTTCCCAGCCCCTTCTTGCCTGTAAGGTCTCTTTTGAGACATCAGCTGACAGTCTGATGGGAACTCCTTTGTAGGTTACTGTCTCCTTATCTCTTGCTGCTTCTAGGATTCTCTCCTTCATTTTTACCTTGGCTAATGTAATTATGATGTGACTTGGTGTGTTTCTTCTTGGGTCCAACTTCTTTGGGACTCTCTGAGCTTCCTGGAAGTCTATTTCCTTTGCCAGAATGGGGAAGTTCTCCTTTATTATTTGTTCAAATACGTTTTCAGTCTGTTGCTCTACCTCTTCCCCTTCTGGTACCTCTATAATTCAGATGTTGGAACATTTAAAGATGTCCTGGAGGTTCCTAAGCTTCTCCTCGTTTTTTTGAATTCTTATTTCTTCATTCTTCCTGTTTGGTTATTTCTTTCTTCCTTCTGGTCCACTCTATTGTTTTGAGTCCCAGTTTCCTTCCCATCACTGTTGGTTCCTGGTGCATTTTCCTTCATTTCTTTTATGGTAACCTGCATTTTTTCATCTAATTTGCAACCAAAATCAACCAATTCTGTGAGCTTCCTGATCACCAGTGTTTTGAACTGTGCATCTGATACGTTAGCTATCTCTTGGTTGCTCAAAAGGATGAGTTCTGGGGCACTGATTTGTGCTTCTGTTTGAGCCATCTCTCTCTCTCTCTCTCTCTCTCTCTCTCTCTCTCTCTCTCTCTCTCTTTTTGGTCTGGTCACTCCTGTTATGGTGAGGGGGCAGAGCCTTAGGTGTTCTCCAGGGTTGGGCACCCCAGTCGCTAGATTGTGACGTTGTATGTGAGGGCGGGGTCAAGAGGGAACAATGGTGGTAGCTCCATTCTCTGTGGGACCTCAATCCCTTCCCTGGGATCCTTGGTTGAGCACTCTGCCCTGGTCCACAATCGCTGCCTCACTGGGTCTGCCAGCTGTCACTTGTGTACTCAGGGTCCACCTGCTGTGATCTTGCATGCCCCAGATGCCTTACACGCTCCTGGTTGCTTTATGTACCCAATTCTCCCTGTTCTCTGCGCCACGACTGGCACTGCACCCGACTGCTTGTCTCCGCCCCTCCTACTGGTCTGGATAAACGGGTCTATTTCAACTTCTTGATTGTCCGACTTCCATTCAGAAATATTTTCTATCAGTTCTGGGTGTTATTCTGCCTCTAAATTGTTGTTGTTCCAATCTTGGTTGTGCGTGGAGGTACGGTGCATGCACCTATGCCTCCATCTTGCCGGAAGTCCCTATAAAGTACTTTCATAATATTCTTATGCTTAGGTGACATTTACCCATTAAGCCTTTATTTGGAGAATTTAGAACTATGAGGAAGGTGCTTTATTTTTTTTATAAACAACACTTTTCCTGATGAAGAAATAAAATGATCCTGAATGCTAGCACACAGAGATGTACATTATCAAAATGCTGGTGTGCTTCGGTCCAGCCTTCATCTACACACATTTTTATGTTAATGTATTTTTTTACTTTATTCATTCATCTCATTGTGTATCAGTTTATCTGAGTAATTTTGAATACTATGCACTCCAATTTAATTTGTCATTTAATACTTAACACCTTTCTTTTTGCACAAGCTATTTATAAAAGCCAATTTAAGATTATGTTAGATATAAGTAAATTGAAATTGTGAGGTATAGTTTTAAAGCATATTATTTTTTAAATCTTCATCTGAAATGTTACATAATTTTATGTTTATTGACTCACTCTGTAATTATTCTAAAGCTCATACCACCAGCTGTTCATATATATATATATTTAAAGCTTGAAGTGGATTTTGGGCAAACAATAGTTTGATCTGCTGTTTGAATTAGAATAAGTAATATTGATGTGCTTTCCCAGTGGGTCACTGTGCTCTTAGCCTGTGATAACAGATTTGTTCAATCGTATGATTTGTATGTTAATTTTTCTCCTTACAACTGAAAAAAGTCTTGAAAAATAAAAGATAATGTTTTTATTAAACACTGTCTCAAAAAATTGTAGTCATGTGTCATTTAACGGTGAGGATATGCCATGAGAAATGTGCCTTAGGCAATTTCCTCACTGTGTGAAAATCATAGCATGGACTTCCGCAAACCTAGATGGCACATACTGCACACCTAGCGATGTGGTGGAGCTTATCTCTCCTAGGCTACAAAGGCTGTACAGCATGTTACTGGACTGAGTACTGTAAGCAATAGTAACACAATGGTAGTATTTGCGTATCTAAACATTCAACAGGTACAGTAAAAATGCAGCATAAAAGATAGAAATAGTACACCTGTATAGGGCATTTGCCATGAACGGGGCTCACAGGACAAGAAGTTGCTCTGGGTGCATCAGTGGGTGGTGCGTTAACGTGAAGGCCTGGGACATCACTATATGCTACAATGGACTATAAATACTGTGCACTTAGGCTACACTGAGTTTATTTTTAAAATTATTTCTTCAACAATAAATTAACCTTAGCTTACTGTAACACTTTTACTTTATAAACTTTTAAATTAAACAAATTTTTGACTCTTTTAATAATGCTTAGCTTTAAACACAAAACACTATGAAGCTATACAAAAATACCTTGTTCTTTGTATCCTTACGCTATAGTAATGTGCCATACCGTCACCGTTACTACCGTTGTGATGTTATGAAGGCTGCAGCTTTACAACTACAATTTATGATGTCATCACTAAGCAATAGAAAATTTTCAGCTCCACTGTAATCTTGAGGGACCATCCTCATACCTGCAGTCATTATTCAGTGTGTGACTCCATATAATTCTATAAAGCCTCTGCCCTCAGTCTTTATCATTTGATGCTATATCAGAGATTAGTAGAATCAGCCACCAAACAAAAATGGTGGCTATAGAAAAACACAGATAAGAGTGTCTGAAGAGAAAAAGATAGAGGCCCATAAATCACAGAAATGAATAAAAAGAATAAGTTATTTACTGTCTTGTCAAAACTATTAAAATTTAACAGATACATTTTAATGATCATTATTACATTCTCTACAGGCTTTTTTTTGGTATTGATTACATGTTCCTACAGAAACCTTCTTTAACCTTGATTTTCATGTTTTCATGATTTCAGAATTACCATTCTTTCCTGGTCTGTCTACCTCTCTGACTGATTTTTGTTTCCATTCTGTCTTTTCATTCCTCCTTTAATCTTTGAGTTCCTCAAAATCCTATACTTCCTTCTCTTTGTATCCTACATACTTTGTGGATTTACTTATCTACTCCCACATCTTTAATTACTTATTTGACAATGACTCATGTTTATGCACATATCTCCAAGAAACACCTCTCTTCCAAGTTATAAACTTAAATATAAAATGGTCAGTCATTATGAAAATAATTATAATTTTAAAAGTAGCCAACAATTACTGAGTTTTGACTATGTATATCTGTTCCAAACTTAGTGGTATAAACAACAACTTACATGTTGCCAAATCCTGCAAGTCAAGAATTCAGACAGGGTACAGTGAGGACAACTCCATGCTATCTGGGGCCTCAGCTAGAACACACAAACAGCCGGAGGTGACTCATATGGCTGGGGGCTGGACTCATGGACTCATCTGGAGGCTTCTTCACTCAGATGTCCCAGGGGATGGCTATGATGACTCAAAAGCTGGCCTTCCCTGGGGCTGTTGTCTGGAGTCAACATATGACCTCTTCTTGTCACTTGGACTTCTCACTGCCCTTAGGTTTTGAAAGAAAGTGTCCTAAGAGCAAGCTCCTGGAATGTAGACAGACAAAGCAGAGTAGGTAGGCTTTCTTTTGCACCTTTGTGTCATAAGCTCTGAAAACACAAGCAGCTGGGAGGACTAGACCACTTGGGGACTAGAATGCTCTGGGGCTTTCTAACTTACATGTCTGCATCCTGGTAAGAAGACTCTAAGGTTAGGTTTGTTGGAGCTGTAGACCTGAGCGCTTACCTGTAGCTTCCATGTGGCTTCAGCTTTTTCAGAGTGGTGGCTGGGTCTAAGACGGAGTAGTCACAGATGGAGGGACTAGAGAGTAAGTTCTTACAAGAGAACTAAGTAAAATTAGTATAGCCTTTTATGACCTAGTCTCGGCAGCTGTGTGGCATCACACCCTCTGTATTCTATTGGTTACTGATGGGTGACTAAGGGGAAACTAGACTCCACCTCTTGGTGAATGAGTAGAAAGAGCACATTTCAGAAAAATATGTGGAATGGAAGATGTTGTAACCATCTTTTCAAAATACCATCCACTCAAGCAATGTGGTAAGCACTTTCCATGAATTATGATTCTGACTTCTCATATCCTCCCTGTTAAATGGTTATAATTTTTATTTTTACTTTAAATTTTAATATTGACTAATTTTAATGATGATAAAATCTAAGGAGTATTACCATTTAGAAGGCTCAGTGACACTAGCCCAAATCTAAATCAAATGCAATTGATTTTTTGATTTATATCTTATCATCCTCACGGTCCTTTCTTAATGAGTGACACCCCCAAATGCTAAGCTCCTTATCTGAAATCTTGGATCCACCATGTTCCATCTCTCTCTTTCCTTATCACCATTCAATTCCATTGAATATTCTGTCCCTCTCTCTACCATCACTGCTGCTACTTTAGTTAAGGCTTTGGCATCAGTTGAATAGGTTTTTATAATGTCCTCAGATGCTCCTACCTTTGATTTTGACTCCTTCAGATCTATGCTCCACACAAGCACAACAATGACTGTTCTAGGACTCAAATCCAGTTATGGTACTCTCTCACTTAAATCTCTCTAGTTCTACGTGTTGCCTTCACAGTAAATCTTACATTGCTTTGCATGGTATAGAATGTTGTCATGCCTGTCTTCCTCTACCTCAGGGACTGACAGGGGCCAGCTGGGTATGAATACCATGCACACACTGTACAGAGCTGATAGAGCCTGTCACTCTCTGTGGGAATCATGATCATGTTTACAGAAGGTGATTCTATGGGAAGTTTACTGGAGCTATGGGAACCTTGTAGATATGAGAATGTAAGTTTTCCAGACTTTTTATTTTATTGAGAGAATCTGGATGTCCTTATTTTTATAAGTTTTCAAATGTCATCTCAATTTTAAATAATGTTGTATAGGCAAACAAAAAGTATCTGTTGCCCAGAGTCAGCCATCACACTCCTACCCAGGTCCATTTTTATTGCCTCTCACCACTTTCTACTCTAGCATTTCTAGTTCTGTGATGCTTGTTTAGGTTTTGCCTTCTTCTGTTAATGGTAAGTTTTCTGAAGGTTGGGAGTTTATTTTGTTCATGTTTACATCACAGTGTTTGGCATAGAATGGAATGATCAATAAATATTTGTTGGATGAATGAATAATATTTATAAAAACATTTTGTAAACTAATATGCTTTATGTAAGCTCACTAATTATAGTTTTTGTATTTCATGTAATAATCATGTCCCCCCCAAAAAAAGGCAGGGAAAGGAAAAAAATAAACTATGGAAATGCATAAAACTGAAAAGTAGCAAAACAAATGAAAAGGAAGATTGGGTAAGGAGTAAACCCCATGTCTTCTTTCCATCACTCCTGTGCCTTTGCTGGACCTGAGCTAAAAATCTTTGTAACAGTCCACACAGTGTAACATTTCAAAGGCCCCTCATCCATACTAGACTGTGAGTGACTTTCTGCATGACTCTCCCCTACTTGGACGGTCTAATGAACTGCTTCCCCAATGGTGGAATCAACAAATCCCACAGTGCCAAAGGACCCTCAAAACATCCTCCAGCTCCTCAAGTCCCTGCAGTTCCTTCTCCCTGATATGAATTTACTGCTGAAGCCACATGGCTGTTATGAACATGCTGCAAATCCTTCATGGGTTTCTGGTCTCTTTAGTGAGACTATCTGTACAAGCAATAAAGATTAAACGCAGTTAAGTGATGACCCAGAAAAATATTATACATTAAACAACACAGCTTGTTCGTAGTTAGGAGGAAAAAATCCCGAGTATTTATATAACAGTAGTAATTCTTCAGTTGAACACATTATAAACACAGCATTAATGGATATGGAGATTCTAGAGTAAATCAAGGTTGTTTTGAACTAGTGAAGACAAGAATATGCAATCATGAAAAACGGACGCAATTTCAAAGGATATGGTCGGCACTAGATAAATGAATCAATGATGTCAGCCTTTCAACATGAGAGTGACTGCAAATATACTTTTGTACTTAAGTGTTGTGGGGGCTTGAATTTTACTAAAGATTACAGTTTAGTGACCTCAGTCTGAGAAATCTTCTTTATAAGTGCAGAACTTGAAAAAATATAAGACTTAAAATGGCAAACCTTTCCCTTCCCCCTTTCTTTCCTTTTCTTCTCTTTCCTCTTTCCACAAATAAAGCACTTATTATATGTCAGTGAATGTGATGGACTGAATGTTTATGGTCCCCCCAAATCCATGTGTTGTAATTCTAACCCCCAGTGTGATGGTATTAGAAGGTGGGGGTCTTTGGGAAGTGATTAGGCCATGAGAGCCAAGCCTTCATGAATGGGAGTAATGTCCTGCTGTATAAAAGACCTCACAGACATCCATTGCCACTTCCACCATGAAAGGTTACAGCAAAAATATGACTGTGTAGGAGGCAGGTTCTCACCAGATACCAAATCTGCCACCACCATGATCCTGGACTTCCCAGACTCCAGAACAACAAGACATGATTGATTGTTTTTATAAGCCATGGGTCTCTGGAATTTTGCTATGGCAGCCTGAAAAGACTAAGACAAGTCACAATTAAAAAATAACTATTGGCCCCTGGCCACATGGCTCAGTTGGTTGGAATGTCACTCTGTGCACCGAAAGGTGCCAGTTCTTTTGGCACCTTTGCCCTCACTGTTGGTCAGGGCGTACGCTAAGGTTGCTGTTGGTCACTGGTCAGGATGCATATGGGAGGCAACTGATTGATGCTTCTCTCCCTCTCTCTCCTTTCCTCTCTCTCTCTAAAATCAGTGGAAACCTGTCCTTGGGTGAGGAAAAAAAACCACTATTGACAATCATCAGATAAGAAAAACTCAAAAACAGTTACCAGAACTATGTATCGATGGAATGTGGAGCCAGTTGGGGTAGCAAGAAATACCAACAGCTTTGGGTGGCATCTTGGTCTATGACAGAGTACAATAACTGATGTTTTATATAAATGCTACAAAGTAAGGAAAAAGGACAAATAATGTTGTCTTTTAAAGGGCATGAAAATAGAATATATTTTAAGTGCCCATTAAAATATTAAACTAAAAGCAAGGTGTGGTGCTAAAAAGAATGAGCTGCAGTTTCGGGGAAATTTCAGAATATAGAGACACTATGTTTTCTGACAATATCAGATAGAAGAAGCCTCAGTGGAGCTCATAGCTACTAAGTGTCAATGCCTTGCTTGCTCTGTTTATGTCTAAGGTAGGATGGAAAAGGATTTTCAGTCTAGGGATGGAAGCCAAAGGAACAAATAAGAAATTGTTATAGAATAACATAAAACTTCATAAAATTAAATACCAGGAGAGGAAAAAAGGGAATGATTCCTCTTCTTTGGAGAATCTGAGTATGGCTTCCCGAGGAGGTGGAGGGTGAATCCAGTTTGGATAAAAGGAGGGAAGGCAGGAAAGCTTTTCAGGAAAGTAGGAGGAGCCACAGAAAGGTTGGCAGAGGGTGGCCTGAATCGCAGTCTTTAGGAGCTGTGGAAAATAGGGTCAGGTAGGAATTATAGAGTAAAATTAGGAAGGCCTAATGGCCTATTTTCCTAATATTTTATCTTCTTTAATCACTGTAGTACTTATCTTGAAGAGAAACTACAGTTATTGCTTGTCCTATAGATATTTTTAATATTTAATGATAGAAACTATTACTTAAGGAGAGAAAAGAAAAGCTACCTTCCTTTAAGTCAGCGTGGTGACATAATACCAAACTCTAGATCTTTCATTCTATACTTACAGCTAACTTGAGATGTAATTTTCTCTCAGTTACTAGAATGCTAGGATTTTTTTCCTTTTGTTCATATATGATGTCATTTTAAGATTTTTTTTTTAACATACAGTTCTCATGGTCTAACCACTGTAGAGGTTCTGGTGCCTTACACAAATTTCTCTACAGTTCCTTATGCTACAGCAGTCATCATGATTTTGCCCAGGCTCTAGGCAAAATTGCCAGGGTTTGAATCCTGGTTCTGCCATGTGTGTGTGTGTGTGTGCAGGTGTGGGTGTATTCCTTGGAAAAATTGCTTAAACTCTGATTCTCAGTTTCCTTATTTTAAGTTAGGGATGGAGTGGCAATAACATCCATCTCACAGGGTTGTTGTGAATATTAAATAAATTAATTCAGGTAAAGCACTTACAATAGTGCTTGGTACATAGTAAGTATCATCTAAGGGCTAGCTATTACCGTTATCTCTAACAGGGAGAAAAATGTACACTTAACATTTAGTATAATTATACTCCCCATATAAACACATTAAAATTTTTAGATTATTTCAAATTTGTTTCATTTTAAGTGATTCTTAAAAGAAGAATTTAAATTTATTTATTTATTTATTTTTAAAGATTTTATTTATTTATTTTTAGAGAGGGAAGGGAGGGAGATAGAGAGAGAGAGAGAAACATCAATGTGCGGTTGCTGGGGGTTATAGCCTACAACCCAGGCATGTACCCTGGCTGGGAATCGAACCTGCGACACTTTGGTTTGCAGCCTGCACTCAATCCACTGAGCTACACCAGCCAGATGAATTTAACTTTAAATGGACCTTAAACACCTTTGAACACAGTCTCTTCTCTAATGCCATAGACCGTAGTGTCTACTCAACAAGTATTTACTATGTGAATCAGTGGCATTTCAAAAGGCTAAACAGATAAAAAATAGACAGATAGTTATTGTACTAAGTGAAGGTATGCTGGGTGTTTTGGGAACACAGAAGAGGTGGGTGTAAACCCAGTGTGGATAGGAATAAAGCTATGGAAGCTTCCTAGAGGTGGCAATGCACAGCTGAATCCTGAAGGATGCATAGGAGTTGGTCTGGTGAAGAAGAAGCTTACAGAGTCTAGGTATTCCCCTTACAACATAGTATCCATGGTCAAACTATTCAAAATAAAGCAATTAGTCAATGAGAATAATTTTGTGAATATTTATACCCTAATACATACATGGAATTTCACTTTATCACCTATTATCTTGATATCTAATCATTTCAAATAGGTAGAAATGGAGATTAAAAAATATATGCCTTGTGAAAAATCTAACTGAAGGGAAAATAATAGCTATCTTCTACTGAGTAGCTATCATATACTGGGCTTGTAATAAGGTCTTATTAAAAATTAATTTATCTCAACCTCACCAGCAGAGAGTTCTAGTACTGCCTCTGCTGATAAACTGAGTAAGTAGCAGAACCAGGGTTTGTGCTCAGCGCCGCTGGGTGCATCGTGCTCTTCACTACTCCACTAAGTGAAGTGTGGAATTCGTTCCTCACTAGAAATACTTTCCTGTTTTCCTGTTATATAATTTGAAACAATATTCAGGGAAATAACTTCACTAATAATATTAACTTAGATTTTCTTTTAGGGCCATTCTAAACTCTTACACATCTTGTAATTTATAAGTTTTTCTTTGATACTACAAGGATGACCCCATCACAAAATTTCTTGCTGGTCAGCACTGTTCTTCAGCTGAAAGTGCTTTCACATCCACCTCTTCATTTGCTTTTTTCCCTAGTGGCTATAGAAATCTACTTTAATAATGCATATTACTTTCTATAGTCTCTTAAAAGAATGTTGCATACTTAAATCATTAAGAGAGATTCCTGGTATGGACTCAATTAAAAAACAAAAAAGAAAACTTCATTTGTTAATTAGAATAGTAGTCAATGTCTAAATGTATTATACAAATCCAAAAACATATCAGAATTCTAGTATTCATTAAACAACATATTTCAAATAAGGTAGTAGAAAACTCAAGTTTTTTCTTCCATTAAATCTGCTTCATTTTCAGGCTTCCTTCATAAAAGGAGTCAAATGCGTGAAGGCCATTGGACTATGTCATTGCCTCCCCTTTAACATTCACTGATGTGGAGATCAGGCAGTGTTTCTTCCTCTCTCTGTCTTCACCGCTAGACAATGTGACCATCATTCTCTACCATTCTGGAAATTACCCCTTTTATGCTTTTTTTTTCAAGTTCTCATCTTTACACGTATCCCCACTTTTTGACAACAAAACACAATGTCAAATACCATTGTGTTTCACTAATGTTTTATAGTCACTTCTTCCAAGTCAGAGGAAATAGCCAGCCCTATCAGAAAATAAAACAGAGGTCATTGCAGAAGCAATGACTTCCAAACTGTTTGCTAAATTTAGCTGTCCAATAATTTCCACTCTAGTGAAAACTGTGAACTACAATTACAGAATGCTGAAACGGAACAGGACCTTAAAGGTCATTGAGTCCAACCCTTGTTTTTCTGAGGAGCATATGGGGTCCTAGACATAGCCTGTGATTTGCTTAAGGCTACATAGCTTGTTAATGGAAGAGATGGAACTTGAACTAAGATCTGCTCAGCTGGTGGCAATGCTGTGCTCACTACACCACAGATGCTCACTCAGCCAGCTATGATCAGCCTAACCTAACCAGGTATACCATATTATTGGCTGTGGCTTCCCCTCTGCGGCCATTCATCTATTTGGTGGCTGAATATAAAATAGCAAGGGTGTCTGAATTATAAGTTGCTGCAAGAAAAATGAAATGATTGCATACTCAAACCCTGCCCCCAACTCTGAAAACTTCTTGCTTTGTGTTCATCAATAATGAATGGCTCATCCCTGCAATACTCAGAGGGAGCTTACATTGCACTTTTGAACAGCCAGCTAGTAATGTACAGTTGATAGAGCCTTTCTTTCAAATCCCAGGGCACAGGTCCTTCAAGGCTAGCATTGCATTTTCAATTAGCTGTTGAGTGAATGTTTGGCATGTGTATTAGTGAAGAGGCACACAATTAGTTTATTATTCTTTTCTGTATTGTGCTGAGAAGATCTGAGGGATTGGTGAGGGAGCAGTCAAGCCAGACATCACTGTGGATGTTGAAGAGGGAGTTACTCAGACCACGGCATCTTCACTTGCTCACTCTGGATTACAGCTATTTAAGCACTCTGTGTGGCTGGGTGGAGTGCGCCTGAGGAAACACATCTGAGACACCACTTGGGGTTAGTCTTTCTGAGCCCTTCAAGTCTCTAACTACTTCTCGTCATTACCATGGAGCCCAACAGTCCCAAAAAGATACAGTTTGCTGTGCCTTTATTCCAGAGTCAGATAGCGCCCGAGGCAGCAGAGCAGGTAAGCAAATTTGGGTGGGGCCCAGTTATATAACGTAACATGGACATACATTCTTGTTATTAATTGGAAGCTTCTCATGGCTTTCCAGGATATGTGAATGAGAAATAAATTGGTTTCCATATGCCTTTGTATTTGAGTTGCATGTGGGGACTATTGGTTAAAATGCAGCATTTCATGTGATACAAAATTAGCACCTGTTAGGTTACAGGAATGATCAGAAAACTGGTTACATTAATGATCAGATTTGGATCAAAACATATGTTTGCTTTTGCTTATTAAAATAATTGGTTCAACATCTAGAGAAACTTTAAAAATTCTAAAAATTAGCAACATTTTATTTCATCATTTGTCAAATAAAAAGACTCAGTTAACAATGAAAGCATGAAATCTTGGAATTATTTCAGATTATAGAGTTAATATTTTATTTAAATGTTTTTCATTATTTACACAGAAGACTAATTATAGTACATGTGATATATGATAGGATTTATATGTATATGTATAATTCAAAACACATTTTATTCAGATATTAAAAATAGTATTTTAACATTTTCTTGATTCCTTTGTCATGTATAGTATATCTATATGTCTGTATTTCTCTCTTTGTCTCTTTCATGTGTGATTGGTTTGCATTTGTATTACTTTTCATATTCAGATTTACTTAGATTCTTGATGCAATGGAACCAGTTAAAGGTCATTTGTAGTAATATTATAGCAATGGAGAGGCAAAAGCAAAGAAATTTACAGAGTCATCAAACTAATTCACTAGTTTCTTAAAACCTAAATTTTCCCCAAATCTTCTTTTAAACAGTACATACAAAGTTTTAAAAAAATTCTTAAATCTGATACTTATAACTTTCCAGGATGTTTTGATAATCTGAAGTAGGTTCACCCACACTGGAGCCAAATAAATACAACTTTGAACATGTATTTGTGTTGAATGAGGCATTGGTTCTATCCTGGGCAAAGTGTCATTGGTAAATTTTGTCTGTTATCCAACTGACATGTATTTTAGGAATTTACTTATATATTTAAGGAGTCAAGGACATATTAGAGATTCTGATTATAGTATGTTTCTATAATTAAGAAAAAACCCATTCCAAACCTATTACTTTTAAAAGAATTTTATATTCTCACAAGATCCATATTTATTCTTTATTTGTTGATTTATTTTAAATATTATACTGGAAAATGAGAGAAACTTATGCTATTAATTAAAATAAAAATCTCATGCTGTTAAATTTAACCTGCTGGAAACTTGAGTTTTCTAGGCTTCTCTCATTTAGAAATAAGGGTAATGGATCTTAAAAACGTCCTCAATGTTATGAGGTTCCAAGAGAGACATTAAAATTAGCAAGTCATCTATGTACCTTTGATGCATATTACTATTCAGTGGCAGCATTTGATTATATCCAACTAATGCTTTTCTATGGAAATAGAGCTTTTGGTCAACATCAGTGATACTCATATATGACAGTTTTACCGCCTGATCTCCTACATTTTAAAATAAAATTAGTGAGCACCTACTGTGTGCTCTGCAGATACTTACTTTTGTGTGTTGGGAACAGTTGAGGATGAAACAGCTTTGCAATCTGTAGGGTAACCTGGAGCGTTGTCTGACTCTCACTGACCTTAGCTGGGCCTTTGTTGTTCACAGATCAGGAAAAGAAGACCTACACCGGCATCACTGGTGATTCTCAACGAACATAACCCCCCAGGTAAAGGCGCATGTTGTGGCTTGCACTGATGGAACAGAATAGAATTGTTAGGAGAACATCAAACAGCATGCCATTGCCAAAATATTTGAATTTCTGGGTTTTAATTAGCAATAATCTAACAAGTTTGCCCATTCAATAGAACATAAATAAAACCAGAAATAAATATTACAGGAACTGTCTCAGCTCATAGCCTGCTTTTCCTCTAGAATGTCACATTGGTGATGATATGCTAGGAAATGTTTTGTGAGTATTTGCTGACATGTATTCAGGTGTTTGTAGAGAATTAGGTTCAGTGCTTACTAATGAGGCTGGTGGGAAGTTATTTAATTAGGTTTCAAGCTCAAATTACAGCTCTTGAGATGCCTATGTCTTTACAGAATAGGATTTTTTTTTTAATTTATGAAAGGTTGTCATGGGGTGGGCAGTGAGCCAGCATTGGCTATACTTTGCTGCTGATGTCATCTCTGAATAATGCAATTGTCAAGTATCCAGATCAATTTTCATCACTGTCCATTTGAGAGCCATTCTGAAGGACTGCATCCATTTGTTGAGGTTTTATTTTCCATTTCCCATAAAAAGTAAACCTGATTCTTATTCCTGATAAAGGACTATGATCTGCAATATGCAAACATTATTTACTTACTGAATGGAGCTGATTTTAATCTCACATTTAAGGGCTGTTTCTAATACAAATAAAGCAAGACAACAAAAGTCATGGTATTAATTTGTAACCAAGCAGGACTTGGTGTTGAATTTTTGTGGGTATAAACAATAAGGGTGGAAAAAAGAAGTCTGAATAATGAAAACGTAAGTCTAGGTATAGGTTGTAGTAAATGATCCATTATGAGAATATCAGGGCAAAATTGTCTCACTTTTTGAGATTCCTTTCTTATTAGAGAAACATACAGAAGAAAAAAGTGAAATTCTGCTAGAATTTTCATCATTAAGCCAAAACATAAGAAAGTGTTCTGGTGATAAAAAACAAATAAGCAAATTTATTCTTGCTGAAAATGAAGAATTATAATTTGATCCTCTATCTTTAAAGTACTATAGCATTTAAAAATTGTTTTCAAGTATACTATCTCCCTTAAAATGTTAACTTATATTTGGATGAATAAGACATGCAAATGGTATGTACTCACACTTTACAAATAAAGTAAACATAATAATGATATCTCAGGTAGAAGGTAGTTTTAGAGAAATTTTTCATCAGTGCCTCTGCTCATAATGGCAGACTTTTCCATAAGGTCCTAGAACTCACCTCCACATGCCGACTTTGAAAAGGATTGGCCGACTTGGTTTCTAGGTGTCCTCTGATTACTAAAGAGCAGCTTCCTGGATTCTGCAGGCCTTGTCACTGTGTGAGCAAAGTGGAGCCTTGTAACCTTTGTGGCTCTCATCTGAGCTCCCAAAATAGTAACTACTGCTTCTTGAATGCCAAATATTTGCCATTTACAGATGAGGAAAGTGAATATCAGAGCAGACAAGTGATTTTTGCAGAAGTTTTTCCATGAGAATTTACAGATTGAATAGATAATTCTGCTTCTAGAGCCCATGCATTTCCTACGGCACGATTCTGGCCCTGCAAATTTTAGTTTGCATTTCATAGTGAAGGCACTGTAAATGTAAGTGGACATTCAGGTCCTATTGACAAGCAAACCCAAATGTTAAATAAGTCCTTTTTCTAGACCACTTAGCTTTGTAGATTAGGAATTGCATTTTCATATCCCTGTGAAGAAAATTTAGGTTTTCTCTGGACACATATTCTAACCAGACCTCCTAATCACTAGATGGCATTGTTCTTTTTCCCTTCTTGACTGTCATTTTCTTTTCTTATAAGTAAGCACCTTAGGAGAGAACTCGGATGCAGATAGCATCTCACAGAGAACTATGTGGTTTTAGTGGTGTCATCTCTCCGTATCTTCATCCTCTTTGTAGAAATTAGGTTAGATTACAAGAGACTGATCAGCCTTTGACTGTGTATAGCAATGTATATGGCAACCAGAGATTTTTGGACTAGTGATGGGTTGTTGCAGCAAAGAGACTAAATGCTTATACAGTGTTTTTCAGTAAATGATCTGGAATTATGATTACTGAGCAAATAAATCTAAGGGCCTAACCTACAAATAAATGTCAACAAAAGAGTACCACACCAAACCCAACCAACCCTGGATACTGGTCTTTATTAGCCGTGTGTTCTTGAGTAAGGAACAATATCTCTAAGTTTGATTTTTGTATCTATAAAATAGGAATTATAAAGCCCATCCTTTCTACTTCACAGGATTGTTGTAATTATTGAAAGAATTAATGTAAAAACTCTTTAAAAATTGCAAAGTGCAACAAATGTTAGGTGTCACTAGCTTGTGTGTTCTGGAATACAAATTTTGCACATGATAATTAAGATTTAAGAAATAAAAAGTACAAAAGATTCTTCATAATTCCATTTGTACTAAATATTTTTGCCCTACCCACCAATTGTTTATGTTCCAAATATTATCTGAACACTCTCTATCAAACAAAGTGAGATAAATAACAGCAACAACAAACCTCATTAAGTGTTAAATAGCTTTTTTGAAGCAATTGTTTCTTCTAGCTCTCAAAAGCAATGTGTTCTTTCAGAACTAAAAATTGTTTGCAGCTTTAAATCTTGGCAAACTAAATAAATCTCTTTAATTTATTGAAATTGCCCAGGAAACAAGTGAGTGTTCTTGAAATTACCTATCATTAGTGTTCTTTAAAATTCCTGAAAAAACCTTTCTTTATTGTCAATTAATGAAGCAAAGATAATTACATTTCCCACATAGAGACATAATTAACAGAGACTTTTAATTCATTTGATTAAATTGGTATACTGCAATCTTTGTTAAATGAGTTAGACATAGCTAATTTTTTAACCTTTTCAAGAGTTTGCAGAAGTAGTCAGTTATAAAACAATATTTGAAATGATGGTTTAATTTTAAATTTATAAATACATATGCATTCTGTTTATATTTGATAGAGGAGAAATAGAACAGAAAAGTATATCTACACGTAAGTCTAGATTATTTGTTTGCTAGTTCATCTGTATGTTTGTCTAAACATACAGATGAGGCAGGAACCTGATTGGTCAGATTCCTGGGGCAATAAAATGCCCCATGAATCCCTTTCTAACCGGTGGCCTAGAATTCTCAGCAATAGAAGCACTACAGAAACAGATATGTAACCTGTTAAAGATATCTCACTCTCTGTCATAGATTAAGCAGTTTAACTCAGAATAATGGGAAACAGGACTAACATTTTTCAATTGAAGACATCATACCTACAAAAATTTAATAGCAAAGGGTGTGTGTTTAGGGTGGAGAAGGGGAAGAACTATGTGTTTGCTCCTAGGAATGACTCTGAACAGCCAGAGGCAGTAAAAAGATACTGGAAACTTGAGATCTGACATGTAGAGAAGGACAAAAGAAAATTTTCATCTCTTTAAAATGTTTTCTGAGGTTAACAGTGTGAATGACCTCGCAGAAAACTGCTTGTTTTTTCTGTATTTTCTGTTCATCTTTTGTTAAGGGCCTATTTATGATAAACTCTCTGAGGCTATACAGTAGAACCTTGTTGTCTATTCTTGTAATGTGGGCTCTTTGCTTTAACTCTTGGATAATCTGCAGTTAACTAGTTTGGCTTTTATATTTTTTTATTTAGAGGGATGACTATACATAAATCTTCTCTATATAGGAATAAGTGGCAATGTCACTTCCTGTAATTTATTTCATCACATTTCTAGATTTACTTAATTAAAAGTGCTTGAATTTAAGTAGACTTACAAGGAACTATATATTTGATTACCAGTATTAGAAATCTAGAATTGGAGACCTTCAGAAAATACCTAATCTAGCCATACATCTTCATTAAAGATATATAAATCAACCCAAGTTCCCAAAACTTACTCCATTTTATATATCTCAGACAAGAACCTATAGTTACCCCTACTTTTCAATTCTAGACACAATAATTTCAGGTGTTATAAAATACAGTTTCTTACACTAAACTTGAGTAATGTCATACTTTTTTTTAAAGTAACTATTTACTCTCTTCAATAAAGATTTATTTACTCACTTTAAGAATATATAACAGTAGTATTTATCATTTTCTTTTCTGGATGAATATTCTCTGGCCCCTATAAGGTTATAATGAACTGTATCCAAATTCTCCTGGTCTGTCAGCCTTTGGAACCCAGAGCTGTACTCAATCTTCCAGGAAAAAGCCAGCCTAGACTAGGCCTTCTGAGTGTTTAGGTTTATGGCATCTGTTCTTTTCCACTTACAGTTAAGCAGAGACAATGTGGTTACAATTAAATTTAATGGACCTGATGCCTGTTAAATATGAGTGAACCAAAAAAAAGATCTGGAGCTTAGTGAAATTTGGGTAAGTACCCAGGAGTTTTGGCATCATTTAAAATCTGGTTGTGAATCTAAAAATTGGAACCAGAAATACAATGTAAAATGGTTGGGGACAGTATTTATTGAACTTTCCATCACAGTCCAAATTGGGGGAGATTGACTTTCTCTTTGATAGTTTTAGCTCCAAATAATCTTAGAAGTGAGGAATAAAAACAAAAGCCTTTTTTTACATGGATCAGGATCCTAGAATTAGTTAATATGAGACATATGAATTAAATATCCAGTAGCTGCCTTCAACCTTGATAGTAAGTCCAGTCAGCAGAAAGGAGTGGACTTTCCAATGGATGGTGCTAGTCAGCTCTACAGGCTGAAAAGGAACCCACAGTCAACTCTGGATGTAGCATCTGACTTTCTACATGAAGCTGGCATTTTAGAACTCTGGCACTAGGTTAACTAATGAGGCTTTGAAGGCTCTGCATTTATAATTCTGAGGCATCAGATGATAGCTAGAGAATATTGCTGGACTCAGACTGAGTTGTTCAAAACAGAGAGGCTCCAGGAAATTCTGGTGATGGGAAGTTTTGCAGGGACAACAAAGTTAAAGTGGAGATTCCTTTCCAGTATGAAGGCATTCATTGGCACACAGTATTAGAAGTGTGTGCCAATGAATGCCTTCTTTTCATGCCTTCTTTTCATGAAGACCCTCAATGTAACAAAATGAATGATTTGTGATCAAATGCGATGCACACTTTGAGTGCAAGCTCTTGAAATCACACTGAGGATTTGGATTCTTAAGGATGGTTAAGACATCTTCAGGCCAGACCTGGAGATGCCTGTTAGGCTTGGGGAACTCCAATCAAATGTATTAAAGTAAAAGCTGTAATGGGTCCAAAATCTAGACCATTTTGTTTCATTTTAGGTTTTCTCATCTTCTCTGGGAATGTGGTTGTAATTCATTCTGAACTGCAATCCTTGATTGTTTGGCATTTATTTTGCCTTCTCAGTATTAATGAGAGTATGAAACAAAGAAATACCAGTGTTTGAAGACCATTCAAGAGTCAACTGGTATTGATTTCTAAGGAATTTAAGAAAAACCTGATTTTTCTCCTCAGTATTTATTTCTTCAAGTTATTTAATGCCAAACTATGCTGAATAATGTAAAGAGAAGTGATGCATGTGGCTTTCAGATTCATGTAGTATGTAATTGATTGATTGATTTTCCAGTGACTATTTAATCTGTTCAGCCAAATAGCCCAATCAATTGGAATAATCATGAGCCAAAGATTAGGTTCTAGTTGTTAGTAATGTCAAAATTTGTTATACTATAAGGAACTAATCTATTCCTCAGATAAATGGAAGAAAATGAAAGGGCCAATTATAAAACTATGAGAGAATTCCACTTTATTGCAGCAAGATTACTACTTTTGCTCATTTTGAATAAGATCATATACTTTTTACCTTTATTTTGATTTTATTTAGAAATAATTTAGTTTAATATGACAGAATGGTGGTAGAATCAATTCACTTCATTTTTCTTGGTCTCTCTTTTCCTACTTGTGGTGGATATGGCATGTGAAAATAACTTACAGAGGCAGTGTTGTAGGAAAGCACTGACTTTGGAGTAGTCCAGGGTTTAAATGCCAGCTTTGCCAGTTACTGGTGGTGATACATTAGGTATGTACCTAACCTCTATGGGCTTGGTTTCCTCCTTTCTCAAATAGAATATTGAGCTGTGAGACAATGCATAGCATAGTGCCCGCAATCAAATAATACTGAAGACATGCAATCTCCCTGTGTCTTATATGCTGAGAAAAGCTGAGTTCTCCTAAAGCTTGCATTTTGTATTGTTAGATGGCTCAGCTCTTTTCCAATCTTGTCTGCATTAGGCAGTGTCAAACAGTGTCCCCAAGAGATGGGGTGTTTTTTTTTTTGATAAGAGAAAAAATGTACCATACTTCCTAATTTA